GCTGGTTTCCACTTCCGAGGATCAGTCAGCCGAAGTATCGGCGCCGGATACGCTGCGCCAACACCCTCCCCCTTGAACCAACACAGGTTCAACAACAAGGGCAGGTAAGGACGTCCGGCGCTCACACAATCGCTTCCTGCACCAGTACCAGTTTGGAGATGGGCCGCTTGAATACAGATCTGGCGGTCTTAGCTGTCACAGTCCTGACTTGACCCTGTGCATCTGGGAACACTTCAGTCACCCGACCCAGAGGCCACTGTGGTCGGGGTAGATTCAGATCGACGATCAAGACCAGGTCGCCGACAGACAGATTCCTCTTGACCTTCATCCACTTTTGTCTTTGCTGTAGCTGAGGCAGATATTCTGCCATCCAGCGTCTCCAGAAAACGTCTGCCAGGTACTGCACCTGGCGCCACCGTCGTCTGGAGTACGTGTCCTGCTCATCAAACACGCCACAGGGTTCAACATCCTTGGAGCAGCAACAGATGGTTCGGCGTCAGTGGCTCCAGATCTGCTGGATCACTGGAAACTGGTGTCAAGGGTCGACTGTTCATCACAGCCTCGACTTCACACGTCAGCGTACGGAGTGACTCATCAGTCAGGGTCTGCTCTTTGAGAAGCGCGCCTAATATCTTTCTGAAAGTCCTGATAAGCCGCTCCCACACACCCCCATGATGCGAAGCGCCTGGCGCGTTGAATACCCATTTGATGCCTCTTTTCAACAAAAATTCGTGAACCTGGTCTCTGTTCAGGTTCTTTACCGCTTCCTGCAGTTCTCGATCGGAGCCGATGAAGTTAGTTCCGTTGTCAGAGCGGATATGCCTGACTTGACCTCGTCTTGCCTGGAAGCGACGCAGTGCACTGATGAAGGAGCTGATGTCCAGGCTGTCAGCAATCTCGATATGCACAGCGCGGGTTGTGAGACAAGTGAACAGTACGCCGTATCTCTTCATCTGCTTCCTGCCGCTTCTTGTGAAAAATGGCCCGAAGTAGTCAGTACCAACACGCGTAAAAGGAGGTTCGTTTGGGGTTACACGTTCCTCTGGTAGATCAGACATCACCTGGGTGACGACGCCAGCCTGTCGTTTCCGGCACCCACACACTGGGACAGAACTCTGCGGACAGCTGTGTTCCCGCTCACAATCCAATACTCGCAGCGCAAGGCCGCCAGAACATGTTCCCGTCCCTGATGACCAGTTCTTTCGTGCATGTCACGGATGATCAGGTCTGTGACGTGGCCTTGCTTGGGAAGAATCTTTGGATGTTTCACCAGATCTGAAAGCCCACTGTTCTTCAGACGACCTCCGACGGTCAGAGTCCCATCGACTACGAGTGGACTAAGGCGATACAGAGGGCTGCCTTTCTTCACATGAGTTCTGGTCAACTCCTCAGGGAAGACCCGTCGCTGTACGAATCTGATGATTGCAGACTCTGCGTCCTGAAGGTCGCGCACAGTGAGGCGCGCAGAAACGTTTTTGCTCTGCACGTCTTCCGTGCCATCATTTAACTTCTTTCTCGTTTTCGCTCGGATGAGAAGCGTAGCTCTGATTCGAAGCAGCCATCCAACTGCCTTTTTTAGCCTGTGCCAATCTGAAAATCTGTTCAGGCTGTGATGTAGGATCGTCTTCATCTACATGAGCAGCATTCACCGTCACTTCTTGATCTCTTCGGGTTCTTCGCCTTCTACTGATTGCAGTGCGTGCGCTGGTTTGATCAGGCCAGACGTGTATCTGCCCGCTGAGGAACTCAGGGCCATCAGTCCAACGTTTGGAGTCGAGGAACTGTCGCGCCGTGAGACCACGTGACACGTCGTCAGCAGGATTGAGAGATGACGGCACGTACTTCCACTGATCGGGATTCGAGCCAGCATGTATGATCGAGAGGCGGTTCGCCACGAAGGTTGAAACCTCGAGGTCTTATTGTATATATCTGAGGGTTGAGATGCTATCTGTCCAGAAGAAGACGGCGTCCATCGGTACTTCGAGTTCCGATAGCAACAGGGTGTTCATCTGAACGGCTAGGGCAGCTGCGGAGAGTTCGAGCCGAGGGATAGTGCATACTTTTAACGGTGCCACTCTTGCTTTGCTCATCAGCAAATACGTGCGAATCTTCCCCTTCGTCCACCAGTCTCATGTAACTGACAGTGCCGTATCCTCTCTCACTGGCGTCCGCAAAGTGGTGCAACTGACGACTCACCGCCTTGCAGTCAGCAGGTGACAGACTCCTGCTCACACTGAACTGTTTCAGCTCCTTCAGGTCGTTGCACCATTGCGTCCATCTCTCAGCATGCTCTTCAGGGATATTGTCATCCCATCCCAAGTTAAGACGACACAGGTCCTGGAGGATGAACTTCGCTGGCAAAATGAATGGAGCACCTAATCCCAAAGGATCATAGGCGGCGCTGACGGTAGACAAGATTCCTCTTCTCGTAGGTGGTCCTGGATCAACCTCGACACGAAAACTCATGGTGTCATTGATGATGTCCCATTGCACTCCGAGTGCCCTCTGTGAAGATGGCGTACCACAAGAGAGGCTCATTGTGCGAGTCAGTGCACAATCTGCCTCCGGGAGACGCGACATGACCTTCTCACTGTTGCTTACAAACCCAGTCAAATTGAAGCCTCCTCTGGCACAACAATCACGAACCTGTAGCGCGATGTCAGCTGCTTCGTCTTCAGTTGCGGCAGATTTCAGAAAATCATCTACATAGAAATTCCTCTCTATGCACCTTGCCACATCAGGTCGATACAGATCACCAAAGTCCTGGGCTGTTCTTCGTAGTGCGAAGTTTGCGCATGATGGTGATGAAGCTGCTCCAAACAGATGGACGTTCATCTGGTATTCCTCCAGCTGTTGAGACAAATCCCCTTCAGCCCACCAAAGGAATCGAAGCAGACTCCTGTCCTGGACAGGTACACGGACTTGATAAAACATCTTCTCCACGTCTCCCATGAGGGCAAACGGTTCTTGGCGAAATCTTAAGAGTACTCCAACTAACGAACTTGTCAAATTGGGTCCTTGCAGAAGCCTGTCGTTCAGCGACACGCCCTTATAGCTCGCAGAACAGTCATATACAACTCTAATCTTCTGCGGCTTCATGGGATGATAGACGCCATGGTGCGGCATGTACCACGTTCTTCCCAAGTGCGCACCCCTATTTTCTTTAGACACCTTCTCTGCATAATCCCTTTCAACCAGCTCATTCACGAACTTCTTGTAGTCAGTCAGATATTTCTCGCTCTGCAGCATCCGCTTCCTCAGACCCTCTGCACGACGCTCCGCTTGTTGTTTATTGCTGGGAAAGGCACCTGCATTCCGAAGTGGAAGTGGAATTTCATAGCGTCCGTTCACGTGCCGCACTCCATTCTCCACCTCTTTCAGCCACAACTGGTCTTCCCTGGACAGACCCACCTCTACAGAGCTGTCATGATCTCTAAAGTCCTGATTGTAAAGGTCGATGAAGCTACGATGCAGATCTGAATTTTCCTTAGCGGCTTGAATGCGGTTTACTTTCACTCCCTCGGCCTCCGCTTGGTAGCCTCGCCTTGGACCCTGGATGACCCATCCAAGCGCAGTACGAACAGCAAATGGTCCACCATTTTCACTACGCCTCACCTCCAGGGGCTGGAGCACTTCAGGACAGTTGCTACCAATCAACAGGCCAACCTCAGCGTCGATTCTTGTCAGCTGGATGTCCTGCAGGTAAGTCCACTGCTTCAGCTCGTCGTTCGATGCCATGTCTCCTGACTTCACGGGAATGGATTTGAGGGTGTATGTCGGAGGCAGCTGAATGCAGATATCGCCATTCATGTCCGAAATCGCAAGGCCCCTGACCACACGGCTGTTTAGCTGTTGATTATCGACGGACGCAGTAGTCATCGACAGCCTGATCTCTTTACTCTCGGCTTTCAGTTGCTTCAATAGAGACTCCGAACAGAAGGTTGCCGAACTTCCATTGTCAAAAATGCGTAAGTCTCCACAGAACTGCTGTGATCCGAACAGAGCAGTTTTACCGGTAGTACTGCCATCATTGTGGATGTTGACTCAGCGCTAGCCCTTAAAGCGCTATCTAGCTTTACCCTGCCGTTTGTTACCAACTGGCTGGCACTGGAGTTGTCCCGACTGATGTCCCCCTCGTGGTTGTCATTATCATGCTTGCACCAGGCAATGACGGTGATCTGTTGTGCATCACTGTAGGATGCCGCATCTTGCAGATCGTGCATGTTCTTCTTTTTGCGCATTCCTTAACCAGGTGGCCCTTGCCCAAGCACCCATAACAAAGACCCTTCTCTCTGATGAATTTGTTCTTCTCATGAGGCGCCAAAGTTCTAAGGTCATCACACTGGTCTAGCCAATGGTCTCTGGAGCAGAACAAGCACACTCGCGAGGTCTGATGACGTCCAGAATCTGCTCCGACGACTGTCGCCGACACGGTTTGAACGTTCTTCCGTGAACCGTCAAGCTCACCGCTCTTGCTGTTGTGTTGACGTCCAAACATTGGATTGGTTTGTATTCTTACTTCCTTTTCCACGAAGTTGACGATGTCTTCAAACCTAGCCTTTCTCCTCTCTTCCTCTTGAATCCTGTCAGCCAAACGGCGCCACTGGTCTTGCAGCTGATACGGAAGTTTCCCAAGTATTCTCCGCATCGTCTTCGGGTGGTCGGTTTCCCTCCCTTCTGATGTGATTCCACCCATTGCGTTATGGCAGGACCTGAGCGTCAATGCGAATCTATCCAAGCTCTCTACGTCCCCAGGCTTCACCAGGGGCCACTCCATGAGCATGTCGACGAATGCATTCGTGATAGAGTCGTCGTCTCCATACCTCTGCTCTAGCAGCCGTCTAGCTTCCCGATATCCTGCACCAGGTGACATGTGCAAACAGCCTCTTATAACGTCTCGTGGTTTTCCTCGGGTGTACTGGTCAAGGAAAAACAGCTTCTCCTCGTCATCTTCGGTTTTCGACAAAATGCGACTTTCAAAGGCCCGGATGAAGGATCGGTATTTTGTTATCTCTCCGCTAAACACTGGAATTTCGACATTCGGTAACTGTCCTCTCTGGAGGTGGGTCAGGAGTGCCTGTGTGGTGTCGACATGTTGGTACGTCTCACTGCTCACCTGTCGTTGATCCATGCTTCTTTCTTCTCCAGCTTCCTTCAGCGTGTCTCCTTCCCTGTTATCATTCTTGGGAGAATTGTTTTTCTCTGGCCTCTTCTCCTTCTACATCCCACCTTCTAGCTTCTTCCTTGCATGCCACTATGGCTGTACTCTCTTCATGTTCGTTGTCATATGCTGCATGGCTTATGAGTGATGCAGATCTTACCAGATGTGGTTGACTTGTTCTTGCATCGACCGACGTTTCTTCTTCGGCAAAGACCTGCTCCCTTGCTTCAGCCTCTGCGATTTCCATGCGTAGCTTAAATTCTTCCTTCTTCATTTTCATTGCCACTGCTTGCGCCACTGCTTGCTCCTCCAACTTCTGCTTCTCCTTCAGCATGTCGATCCTTGCCCGGAGACCTGCCTTCCTCGCCTGCTCCCTTGCCCTCAGTGACGACACAGAAGCGCGCGAACAAGAGGAGTGCCTCGATGAGGTAGACCCGATTGACACAATAGAGCTGGCTACCTCAGACGCAGCTCGTTTGTGGTTGTCATCTCTCGTGTCAAACCCCTGAGCCTCAGCAGCCTCCTGACTGTCATTGACATTTATACCAGCATCCTTGCAGGGCTTATCAGGAGCACAGTCTTTCTCTGGAGCTACAGTATTAAATCCTAAATTGTCTCTAGATCTACTAGTGAGGCCACGGGTAAATTCAGCAAGATCAGCAGCTTTTGATGCATTGAACTCAGTGAGAAAATCAGCCACGGTAGTGCCTCCCGATTCCAAAACATCTTTCAAACGACTCACTAAAACGTCTTTCTTAATACCCTTGCAGGCTCTGCCCCTTCTTGACAGCTCATTTTTTAGCTCATGAACAGTGAGCTTGTATAATGTCTCCATTTTGTCCATACCTCAATGTAGGTGAACCCTCGAAACTGTTGTCGCCGGCTACCTTTCTGTTCTTCCAATTCTTAGACGGTCAGATCTCTAAACGCACCGACTCATCACTTGTGATTTATTTGAAATGAGCTTGACGATATATTTGAACTGAACATGATCGAGTGAGAGTGTAAAAGTGGTTTCTGAAACAAAGCAAAACACAAAAGTAAACAAGCATTCGTCATAACAAATTCTGACACAAATACTGACAATTACTGAGGATATGGAACGTAACGCCGAGGATATGGAACGTAACAGTAGTAGATAGGCAAGTATATGAAATTACTCACCGAGGTTCTGCCCTGTCCACTATAATTATTTAATTTAGCCGTTGACAAAATCTTTCAAAATAACACATAACTAAACTAACTAAGCAAACAAAGACATTTTGCGGAATAACACGGTCAGCTGAGCCAAAGCTGAGCCGGCTGGTTCCACAATACACAAACAAACTCGTTCGTTGTAAACCGCTGGTTCTTCCACTTCCGAGGATCAGTCAGCCGAAGTATCGGCGCCGGATACGCTGCGCCAACACATATAAAACAATATATTTGCATAATTTTTAGATTCACATGCATCAGAAGACTTGGACATTTGATTTTTGTCTGTTCACTTTTCTCTATCAAGACAAACGGTTCCACCACAGCCCCGTGAAGATCAACGCACTATCAGGCCCGTCCACGGATATGGCGCACGGCCCGGAGCACTTCTTCGCAGTCCATGGGGAGTCAACGAAGTCTTGCTAAGTCTAAAGTGAACTTTAAAGTGAAGGGTTAACTGTAAGTGAAGCCGAAACTTTCTCATAAATTTGGAGATGTTCTTAAGGCTTCCGAGCTGTAACACTATCCACGCCTTCTGTTCTTTCGAAAATGGCGTATTAATCATTTGAGCACGGCGAGCCGCGAGGTGAACCCGACATATCCCGTTCTGAAAAAAGAATGACAACAACTATGGCATTGAATGCTATTTATATAAATGTCCATCAATTTCCAACAATGCTTGAAAGTTTGCACGTGCTAGACACATTTTTTCTTTTTGAACTCCCCAGTTTAAAATTGACATTCATTATGAAACACCCTGTATGAGCCCACGAATCGAATCGCTAGTGCTCATTGCACCTCGTTACCGCAACAAAACTGCAGTTTTTCTTTTATTCGGCTGTTCATCAGGCTTACCGCACGCAATCCGTCATCATAACTCGCGATGCAATGTTCTCAGTACCTATCGCTGTGGCCAGGTCTGACATTGGTCATCGGTAAGACTTTCTCCGCTCCTCGAGGACGCTCGGACGACTGTGACTGACAGGAAGCAGGTGTTGGCTCTGTCGCGGACGGTGCACTCTGCCGAAAATACACCGACCGATCAACTAACTAATTATAGCGCCGGAGCGGCCGCACTGGAGGCCGCACACGGCTTACAGCGGGGCCCAGTGGCGCTTACAAGGGAGTTAGCGACGCTTCAATCGCTGTGTGTGCTTACAGAGGTGTCCGTGCGATGGATAAGACGTTGGAAGGCGACGGGTGGCGTAATTGACTTGCAAATTATCGTAATGCTATTCTGTACAGTCGTGTTTCCACATTGATGAGATAATGCATGTTTGGCGAATGTTTGAGCTACCTGTGTTAATTACATGGTGATTAAATTCATCGAAATTTGTTGATGATGCCTATTGAAATCGCTTTGTTGCTTCGCTTCTGCGAGTATCTAATTAATCTGCAAATGATCACAGACCTTTCATAATAAGAGTATGAAGTTCTTTGACTCGATAACTATGGTATTCACTGAGTGCAAAGAAGCTGTCCAGCTTCATACGTTGTCTGGAACGATTCTGCCACGTTTTCTTCAAATATTTCGTCCATAAGTTGTTTTAGAGCCTCGGTTCAAATTTAAGATTGACCAGTTTATGTCAGCTGATGCAGAATATTGTCAAATGATAAGTGGATGGCGATATATCGACTATCCTTATCCTATCTAATAGATAGGATAGGATAGGATAGCAAGGGATAGATAGTATCTATCCCTTGCTATATCCCTTCCCTATCCCTTCCGCCCACATCCGTCTGTATCCGCCGGCGGATGGCTCGCCCACCAGCATTCATCTCGCCAATGTCATGGGGCGCGCTTATGCGCCGTTGTGAAATGCTGTGATTGATGGTCGTTTTCGGCGCCGGACGTCGAGAAACAGAGAACGCACCGAGATACCATCTGTGGAACGGCGCCCTCATCAAACGGACAAATTACACTGGCAGGAGAATGTTCAACGTTTTCACTGACAAACATGGCAGACAGAAACACTGACAAGACATGGCAGATGACGGTTATGTAGTTTAACCCTCGCCGGCCGAGGGGGGGGGGCGGGTGCCGCCCCCCCATAGGGTTTTTTCGCGATAGCTCCGAACACGCTGGCGATAGAAAGCTGAAACTTGGAATACCTGACCTTTGATCCAAGCCGCATCTTTTGACACCAACCGCATTTTTGGGTCAGGTCAGGTCACTGACCTATGACGTCATAAGTGAACCTCTGCACGGTCTTCAGATGTCGCAACTTCGCAACGCCCTCACTGCCAGAGGAGATGTCACAGGGAAATGAAACTTGCAGGATCTAGTATCCATTATGAGTCTCACAACTTGTATCTCTCGGATTTTTCCTAAAGGTCATATGAGGTCAGGTCATTTTCGTGACCTCACCATTATAGGTCAATGGGGAAAAATGAAAACTGCTATTCTGGCGCCGGGAACGATCTCCAACTATCTCAAGCACACAGAATCGTGATTTGATGCACTCCTTGCAAGGTCAGATGCGTCACTTTTGCAATGTTGACCTTGCGTGACGTCATTTATGACGTCATCAAGGTCATATTAGTTTTTCGTCAATAACTCTTGATCAAATTGAGCTAGCGAGTCGAGAAAGCCACCAATGGACTCAGGAAGACCTGCCGAATCGAATGATATGCGACATGACCCCTTTCGACCAACTTCGTGACCTGGGGGTGCTGACCTGACCTTGACCTGAGGTCAACATCCCAAGTTGACCTGACCCGGACAAAAAGTATATCATTCGACGCGCCTGAGCGAGGCGAACACGATGCTGCCAAAATCGCGGCTCTGCGGCCGTTTTTTGCGAAGTTATTCACCAAAAACTGAACCGTACCCTGGGGCACTTGACCTGACCTCAGAGGTCACCGGTTGACCTAGGACCTTAAAATCGGGTACCAATCTCTGCGTCTTGTAACGGCGCACACGCTCGTTTTTTCCGCGACGCGCTAGCTCCACCAGGGGCGAAACGGCGAGGGGGGGGGTCGTACCCCCCCCTCGGCCGGCGCGTATGTAGAAAACCAATAGGTCCGGCGAGGGTTAACCCGCCCACTTCCAGATTTTGAGCCTTGTATGAGTGGAATGGAAACGTGCGTGACCTTTTAGGAATGTTTCTGAAAAAGCCTGCCCCATTACTTCTGTGAGGAGAATGCCCGATTCGCGAGCTGATTCCAGAGTCAGACTTGAGCCGGCTCGGCGCTCGCGATTCGTTTCTGTTGAAAACGGCGCAGTAAATGTCAGTTGGCGGTGATCATTGAACAGTTCGGTTGGGGACCGTCATCGGCTATGTAGACATTGGACTCTAAATCTTACCGTCTATACGTAATATCCTGGTTTGAGGAGAAAGTTCAGGATCTCCGCAACAAAATCTGCCGAGTGAAGGCTGTTACATGAAGATTTTTTTTTTTTAAAGCACTCCCAGCTAAGAGTAAGGAAAAAACAAAAAAAAAGCAAAAAACGAGAGTAATATCAGTGGAGAATGCATGCTGTTAATATAGTAGCTTAAGAGAAGCAAAGTAGTCACAACTGAAAACAGTTGGTGACTGCCCTTCTACGCCAGGAACACCCACTGATGCACACTTACACAGGGTATTGTTAGTGGGAGGAAGGGATTAGAGGGAGCACTCATACATACATGGTGGATGGTCGTAGGTAACATTTCTGGTCAAATTCAAGCAAGGTCATTCACTGAGCCTCCGTAAAGCTGTCCAACTAAGCAGAGCTTGTCGTCAGACAGCCCACAGAGGCCAGTTCCGAGGTGGCTGGAGTAGAAAATAATGCAATATAACGAAAATGAGAGGTAACATCAACGAGAGAGGAAAAAAGACGGAAAGGAATACAGTTGGGAAGGAGAGACGGGCAAGAGAACTACTATCCTACAGTAAGTTTTAATGTTTGACGGCCAGGCGGGCCGCGAGCCCCCGCCCGCACCCCCGGAAAAACATCTTTCCCGAGGGTGCCCCCTAACCACCGCCCGGGCGAGGGGAGCGCCGACCCGACCCGACAGGCCGGCGCCCCGCCCGCCCGGACGGCCGACCGGTCCCTTTCAAGTGGGACCGGTACCCAGGTTGGCCCGGATGGGTTATAGGGGCGGGGGCCCAATGCTCGGCAACGCAGGGCTCCGCCACAGGCCGGCGGAGCCCGCTTTTACGTTAATTAGCTTACGCGGTTACCCTGTATGCGTGCATTCATTCCTTCGTAAGTCGTTCACAGCATCCTGTCCACATCCCAATAGACCTATAATTGCTATGGAGTTAGTATTCAGCTATCATAAGCTGCTTCGATGTTTCTTTTATTGTTCTTTTTGATACAGGTTCAGCTCTAATGGATGGGAAATGCGTTGCAATCATTGAGTTCCAAATTCGTGGACCAATCCAGGCTAACGTCTGGGTGCGGTATAATTTGCTTGTAAATGGCTCCATAAAATGTTTTGTGTTTCTGCTTTCTCTATTACCGGGTTGGGCTGGCTGGAAGAGGGAAATGATGGGTAATGGTGATCTCAGATGGATTATATTATACATGAGTGATATGGTTTGCTGTTGGGCAATGTCTTCTAGTTTGAGTAGCTTTAGTTTGGCAAAAATTGGACTACTGTGAGCCAGCCTGGGCTGGTCATCAATAATTCTGATAATCTTTTTTTGAAGGGTGACTAGTTTAAGCATATGCGTTTTTGATGAGTAACCCCAAAGGAGACAGCAGTAGTTTAGGTATGGTAGAACCAAAGCGTTATATAAAAGAAGTCTATGCTTTCTGTTTAGAAAATGCCTGGAGCGACCAATTATACCAATATTCCGGCTTATGATGTTTGAAGTGCAATTGATGTGACTTTTCCATTTGAGGTCATTATCGATTAATACACCAAGGTATTTCACTGTTTGTGTTTCTTTAATTGTAATTCCATTCATTTGGATATTAATGGTGGCTTTATCTTTCTGATTGCTGTATATCTGGAAAGAAGTTTTATCCGTGTTCAGAGCTAATTTATTTGTATGGAGCCATTTGCAAATTTTGGGAACTTCCTCATTTAATGTAGACTGCAAGTCAGCATAGCTTTTTCCTTGAAATACCAATGTTGTGTCATCTGCATAAAGCAAAGATTTGAATTTGGTAGAAATATTAGGGAAATCATTAATAAAAAGAATAAAAAGGAGTGGGCCAAGGATAGAGCCTTGGGGCACGCCCACTGCTATTCTTTGCAGGCCAGACATGGTATT